AACAACAGCTTCATCCTTTGTTTGGCTTCAGCATTTGTTTAATTAATAACTTATTTTGAACTTATAATTTTGTCTGGTATGTAGGATACAGATAATAAAAGTCACATTAAAATCCAACACCAACACCAACTCTTCTCTTATTTCATATTTTGCCAATATGCTGGGAGTTTTGGGCAGCCTGTAATATACATTTAAAGCCCGTTACCCCCACAACATAAGTTATATATGATTCATAGGCTGATATGTAACAACTGCCCAGGGACTACAGAGAAAAATAGTTTTTATCTAACTCTGTCGCATTTACTTCAATGTTTTATTAACGTGTACTGACCCTGCTGAATTAAACTGATTAAATTAAATTATATTTTGACTTAATATGAGGATATGTTGGTGTTGAAGTATAACTTTTCACAAACGAACCATTCTCCTCCTTGAATTGTGTTGGAGGCAGAAATCTTAGCGACAGATCAGATCACAACACCTGGACAAATAAAACAAAAACCATGGCGAGACATCAGTAGGGGTGAATGTGAAAGTGGCCCTTTAAATCATAAAGCGGTTATGAAATAGATGCTTGTGTAAAACTGCATCCGGTTTTTACTGGAGATTAATCAGAGGTTTTTTATGTTCTCTTTGTTTCCGACAGAAAAAGTACAAAGATGAAGGGAGGAAGGAGATGACGTCGTCTCTGTACTCTCAGCTCCCTGAAACCTCAGAGACCCACTTCGCTCGAGAGATGACTGAGATACAGAGTGAGGTATGGCACACACACACAGTGTTTCTTATGAAACATATATCTACGTATCTAGTTTGATTGGCCTGCGTGATGGAGAGAACAGAAAACACTCTCTAAGCTAAACATCAGAGACAAGCACAACTCTTTTTATAGTTCACACGTGAGAAAAACACATTTTGAGCTTGTTCAGTTTGATGATGAATCTGGACTCTGGAGATGTTTTGCTCAATACACAGTGTGGAAATACTAAATGTAAAGGTCCTGCATTCAAACTCTTAATTTAAATAAATGTACATAAGTATGGGCTTAACAATGAATGTAAATTAGAAGTAAAGTACTCATCATGCAGAATGGCCCGTTGCAGTAATATATAATATATAAGAGGTTTATAATCAGTGATCCATTAATGAGCTAATTTAAACTGCTTTATAAACTGCTGGGGAGCTCATTTATTAGTTGATCTGCAAAAATACCAGTATATATAAAGCTATCAAATACTTGTGGTGGAGTAAAAAGTACAATATTGTAGCAATAATTGGAAATACTTAACTTAAAATGCAAGTATCTCAAAACTGTACTTAAGTGCAGTACTCACCCTGTATTTACTAGTAAGTAAATACAGGGTGAGGTACAGCACACACAGACTCACACTGACCTTTGAAAACTTTGAGAATGAAACTGAAAAGAAAGAATTTGGCGTTTGTTGCGTTTTCTGTAGATGGCGAGCCGATTCTGAATCCAATCATCTTGACTTGCACTTTTGTAGCTGCAAAAACAAGCGAGTATTTAAGCGTGTAAAAATACACGTAGAGTTTGAAGAAGACATGCATCTACTGCAAACAAGGGCTTGATAAAATGTCCCTCTGAATATGTCCTGTTGTCTTCTCATCTCCAGAACAAGTATAAGGAGAGTGGGAAGAAGAGCCAAACCATCAGTGTTTACTCCCAGCTCCCAGAGACCAACGAAATCCAGTTTGCCAAAGCTGTATCTGAAATGCAGAGTGAGGTACGGCAAGAGAGTAGTTCATTTAATTACATTTAACTACAGCGTGCTATTATGATTAAAGTTAAAGCAATGTGCTGAATCTGAAGGACTCAATGATTTCCTGTAAGAAGGTTGGAGAACTTCTGTCCTTATTAGTTTGCTGATGATTTATTTTAGACCAAAACAATCTGATACAACCAAAGTTTAAAAGAAGTGTTTCTCTCTCCCCTAAAACCAAACGTCAGAGTAAAATGTGGCTTTTTAACTGCAGCCATGTTTCCTTTGTTCTTTTCAGACCAAATATAAAGAAGCAGGGAAGAAAGACGCGTCCAGCTCTCTGTACTCGAAGCTGCCTGAGACTCTGGACACTCTGCACGCTAAAGAGGTTTCACAGCTGCAGAGTCAGGTGTGTACAGAGACAGCATGGTGTGTTCAGGTCCAGGCTTTCCACTGGACCTTTGGCCATGAGCTAATGGGAGTCGACAATTAATAAGAAAGTGTTGCTGTGTCCAGTGAGCTGCATAAACTGCATAATTTGGAGAATTGTTAATCTTCAGCTTTCTCTAGAAAAGCAGAAAGAAACAATAAATCCTGGTTTATTTAAATTTAATTTGGGATATTTGTGCATATTTTTGCTGTTGTCTGCTAAAATAGCAGTAATTTAAATTTAAAACCTCGTGAAAAAGCTTACTTCTGTGTGTTTTCGCTCTGTCCGGCCGTCTTTATGCAGGTGAAATACAAGCAGGACGGCAGGAAGGAGGCGAGCGGTTCTCTGTATCACCAGCTGCCTGAAACCACAGAGACACAGCTGGCTAAAGAGCTGAGAGACATTTACAGCGAGGTGAGGAACACCCCGACACAAAGGCATCACCGCAGGGTATCTGTACGGTAGAGTAAGCTCTGTGTGCTCTTTCTCAGGTGAAGTATAAAGAAGGGGGAAGAAGGACGTCAGAACGAACTTGTACTCGCTCCTCCCTGAGACGGCAGAGACCCAGTTTGCCAAGCATATGTCAGAGATACAGAGCGAGGTGAGGACCCTGAACGCCTCATACAGGTGGTCTGCAGGTGGATAGGTCCATCAGAAGCCTTTTCTCAGTATTTTATACAGAAATTTAATTTGAAGAACCTTTTTTTGACTATTTTGATTTCACTAAATTTCCACAGTACAATATATTGTTTTAGATCAAGGTCCTTTTCCTAGTTAGGTTATAATATAGTAAACCTTTTATGAAATACTCTGAACATAATCTAAACAGCTGGGTGAATTTCACACCATGACTCTGGTTCAAAAAGTGGAAGATGTCACAGAATTTTTCATCAACTTTTATTTCATTTTCTTTCAAGGCAAAGTACAAGAAGGACAAAGAGGATCTGCCCGACACGTTATACTCTCTGCTGCCTGAAACTCTGGAGACTCAGTTTGTCAAAGAGATGGCTGAGACACACAGCGAGGTGGGAAACTCATCATGTTGTGACACCATAAATCTGTTCACGCTGTCAGATTGTGGGGACTTAAGCTGCTCTTTACAGAGGAAACCATAATTCATAACACTGCTAATATTCTTTTTTTTTTTTTTGGCAGTAAACCTCATATGTAGACTCAGACCAACAATGAATGTATCTCCTCACAAGTCCTGAATATGTCTCACAGCCTGATGTCTCCTCTTCCTCCATTGTTGTCCAGACACTATTAAAACATCAGTGAGCCTCAATGCTGCACCGGCTGACATGTTCCTTTATCACCATGAACACACACTCTGTAGTTTATTCTGACTCAGACCCACATATATAAATAATAATAATTATCTTTGTTTATAGAGCAGTTTTAAAAAAGTGCTTTTACAAGTGGGGAAAATAAGATTTATAGATAAGATTTCCTCGGGCAGGCTGTTTCAGAGCCTCGGGGCCATGACTGCAAACGCTCTGTTCCCTTTAGTTTTAAGTCAGGCCAGACAACAGACCTCTGTCCAAGGATCTCAAGGTACGTGCCGGTGCATACGGTACTAAAAAGATCAGAGATATAGCCGGGGTAAAGGCTATGAAGAGCCTTAAAAGTAATCAGTAACATTTTAAAATATCTTATCAAACATACTCGGAGCCAGTGTAATGAAGTTTAAAAAGGAGTGATGTGATCACATGCACTGTCCTGCTGTCCCAAACACTCACTGGAGCACCACATGTGGATTCATCCGCCGCCGGAAATAGTCCCCAGCAAATGCAGTCTTTTTGAACATGAAACTTTATAATTGTGAGGTGTTAAAGATATGCATTTTTAGTAGGAAGCAGTGTGCTTCGGACGGCCAACAGACCACGGACAGGGTAGGGAAGACAGAAAGTACTGATAATAAGACATTGTTGGTTTTTATCATGAGATGTGTTCACTAACAGAAAACCACCTTTCATATGTTAGGGAAAGTCTTCAGGGAATGTGTGGGCGTCAGTCCTAAGAGACAAAATGAGGTGTGTGTGCTCCGTCTCAGGCGCTCCAGCATGTTAACACGTTGTAGATAAACTGACCACTGTTGTCTATTCTGGTCTCGTTATCAGAAACCGTTTCAGAGCTGCTGGATACCTCTCTCCTCCTCCTCCTGTGCTGCTGAAACACATTCAGAGTGGATTTACTCTCTTCTGAAAAGCTCTATTATGTTATCTGTGTTTAATGTGTTTTCCTCTGGTGCCTCTTCACCTGTAGCTCCTGCCTTTTGGTTTTTAAGTGAATCTGACATCTGCAGACAAAACGGCAAAAATGTTCATTTTAGTTCTTTTCAAATCAAGTGGTGCTGAGAATTTAAACAGTTCTGAATAAAAGCCAGCAAAACCACAATAGTCAGCCACAACAAAGAGAGGTGGACATGTATTAAAATATTTGCTGCAGGCGCCTCTCATAATGTGATATTTGTTGTGAAGGAGGAGAAGCCGTAAAAATGTATGTGATCATGAAACAAACAGAAATTTGACCTGTTCTTCCTCCTGCAGGTCAAGTACAAGGAAGCAGGGAAGAAAGAAGCCAGCAGTTCTCTGTACCACCAGCTGCCTGAGACTCTGGAGACGCAGCGTGTTAAGGAGGTTACTGAGCTGCAGAGCGAGGTACACCCATCCATTATTCACTCATCTGCATGCTCAGTTTGTTCGGCAGTGAACAGTCAACTGTCATGAAGCAGCTGATTGTCCTGATGTAATTCAATGACAGATTTGAGATTTGCATTCTGCACACTCACTGTCGTGCATTATTCAGACAGCGAGAAGCTCAAACTGAGTGCAATCGTCACTCTTCAAAGAAGTAATGAATGAGCCAGTTATTTTGTGCTTTGAAGACACTGGGCTAAATGTGGTGGATATTTTCAATGCTGTTTGTAGCTGGTACAGCAATATTTTGTCAGCATTATCTCGCTGAGGAACGGAAATTTTTATGTAAAGTAACTGAAATATTCAGGAGAAATACAACAGAAACTACTCATGCAGTCTCCTGAAATGAACAATGCTCTCTCTCTGGTCTTCTGCAAATCAAAAGTGGTGGTTTGAGGTTTGGACCAGGAGATTAGTTTTCTTTTAGCTCATTAATTGCAGGCTCAAATTTAGTCTGCACGAGGTGGCCATTAGGACTGAACCAAAGTGATTCAGAGCTTCTTGTCAGTTTAAATGTATTTCATCTGATTGCTTACTTTGTTTGACCAACAGGCGAAACACAAATCACACTAGTTAAACATAAAAAAACCAGCAAATCCTTAAAAGAAAGAATCAATTATAAAAGTTTTCACTTGGTTGAACGTAAACCCTGTGGGATGATGCTGATCATGTGTAATTTTAGTTTTTGCTCCTTAAAATGACCAAATCAAAGAAACACACAGTGATTTCAAGCTGAATTAAAACAGTCTGTCTGAATTAATTTTCCACCTGCTGCCGTTTCCTTCAGAACAAATACAAGCAAAGCGGGAAGAAGTCGATGTCGTCCAGTTTGTACGCTCAGCTGCCGCAAACGGCTGAGACGCAGCTCGCCGCCAAGATGTCCGACCTGCAGAGCGAAGTAAAGTACACACACACGTTTGGGGATGGGCGATACAGAACTTTTTTAAATTTGAGATGTTTTCCCATTTTTTGTACGATACATTTTTCAAAGTAATGGCTATTTTCAGGAAAAAAAAAAATCCTTACTCTTAAATTGGAATCACATGACACAATCAATAGCACATTTATCACCAAAGCAAAAGTACTGAGTGTGTAAGCAATGACCAGATGTTACAGAAATACTATGATTAAATAATAATTGATACCAAAGCTTGTGAGTATTGAAATACCGATCCTGCAGTAACGATTCATAATTTACACACACTTGTAATAATATGTACACATGAGGATGTTAACAGATGTCACTCCGCCTATCCCTCAGACTGTTTTAGTCCTGATGTCAGAATGAGTTGGATGTCGTCTTCAGTGTCTTCTGCCTCTCTTTGTCCAGAGCAAATACAAGGAGGACGGGATGAAGAGCCGCTCTCAGAGTTTATACTCTCAGCTACCAGAAACTGCTGAGACTCAGTTAGCAAAAAACTGTCTCAGAGCTGCAGAGCGAGGTGAGCTGCCCCTGTTTCTTTATCTTTTTCACTGGATTCAAGCTCAGGACCTTCTTGCTGTGAGGCAACAGAACTTACCACTGAGCCGCTGTACCACCGAAAACACTGTCACTGTCAAATTTAGCACAGTTAAAGGTCAGGGTCTTTTCACATTAATAACATATTTATTTTAGAAACAGGTTTATGGCCAGGTTATCACATATAAAGGAATGCTTTGGTGTTGTGGTGCGTAACGATCAAAATATACAAGTTAAAGAGGTGGTATTATGCTTTTTGGCTTTTTTTATTTTTCTATTGAGTTGTATATCTTTTTTTGTGCATGTAATAGGTTTGCAAAGAAGTCCAGCCCAAAGGGAGTTCCCATCTCCCACAGAAAACTCTGCTCTGAACTGCCTGAAAACAGCTCGTTTGTAGTCCAGTTTGTCTGTGACGTCACAGGGATGAAAGCTAAATGCGCCTCATATAACGCTCGCCAAGCGGCTACTCCGACACGCCCTCAAAAACACCGGTGTAAAAACAGCGAGCTGCAGCACACAGCTCTCCTCTCCTTCCAAACACCAGCTACCCTCCAGGCAGTCAGTGGACATAAAGTTGTTCCTGTGATGTAGAGACAGAGCTCAGTTAAAACATTATGGATGAAAGATACTTTTGTTACAGATTAATAACTCACCACTCTGAAGCTCTTGCTCCAGTCCATGTTGCCAAGCTGGTCGGCAACATGTACAGCTGAAATAAAGCCGTGTTGGCTTCTCACTGACCCGCCCTTCTCTGCTTCTGATTGGCTAGTAGTCCTTAAATAGGAACTGCGCATGTGCAACTCCCAACAAAGATCCTGTAGAGGTAAGATGCATCACTCCATAGCTAAAACGAAGCCTTCAACACACAGGGTGAAAAGAGGAGCTGCAACAATGTGTGAAAATTAAACCATGTAAACCTCTTCTGGTACAACCCCTAAATAACATTTTGATCCTGAAAATGAGCACAATACCACCTCTTTAAGATAAAAACAAATATATTCTGTATTGAAAAGATATGAACACATCAGATAATGACCCTGTTACTCAGGCACAAATGCATAAAGAAGTCCCTGAATTTGTAGAACCTCCATTAGTAAAACCATGAATTAATAAATGAAGCAGTGGTCTGTCTGGAGAGAGCCACCTGAATCAATAAAGAAAGTCCACCCACAGGGTTTTATTGACAGGTCATTGCTGTGAAGAGCAGAGCAAAACAACACAGCAAACCTTTTTTTGTTCACCTAAAGCCAAACATACTCCCTAAAATGGTTTCAGTGCAGACGCAAACAGCAGCACTGGCTCACATTTCTGACTGCGAGCTAAAGCAGAGGTGTGTGGTGGAAACGGCGTCTAACTGGTGATGTTTTTCTTTCAGGCCAAGTACAAGGAGGCGAGCAGGAAGGAGGCGAGCAGCTGTCTGTACCACCAGTTGCCTGAAACCCTGGAGACGCTCCATGCTAAAGAGGCTAGTGAGCTGCAGAGTCAGGTACACAAACACTTACATGCAGAGGACAGATTGGTAAATAGAGCACAAAAAGATGAACACCTCCAGGCCTGCTGGTTCTTTGTGGACCTTCAAATGTGGGAGTTTCCAAAACAGTCCAGGACTTTCTTTTGAATCATCAGGGGCCCTGGTCTACAAATGTTCTGCAGCTTGGGATCCCTGGACTGGATGAAGACACTATCTTATTCTCTGTGAACAACAAACAGCTTGTTTATAACATGTGAAGACAGAATTCAGTCAGCATCGCATGGTGTCAGCCGAGTATCTGACTTTGACTTGTCCTGTCCTTCACTTTCCTTTCCTGTCCTGTCTGATCCTTTACTTTGCTTCCTTGTACTGTCCTTTCCTTACTTGTACTTTCGTTTCCTTTCTTGTCCTGTTCTGCCCTGTCCTTACTTGTACTGTACTTTTCTTTCCTGTCCTTTCCTTTCCTTCACATTTCTGTCTTTTCCTTTTCTTTTCTTTCCTTTCCTTTCCTTTCTTTTCCTGTCCTGTCCTGTCCTGTCTGTCTTCTCCAGATGAAGTACAAGGAAGCAGGTAAGAAAGAGCTGAGCACCAACCTGTACTCACTGCTGCCTGAGACAGAACAGATGAAGTTTGCTAAAGCCGCCATGGAGCTTCAGAGTGAGGTGGGTGGACTTTTTACAAGGCATGATCACACCCTTTGGTTTATTTTCTCTGCTACATACCTTAGTGGATGGGTTGAATGTTACTTATAAAAAGAAAAATTGGGCTCAAGATGTCATGAAATGTTCCCTTGATACACATAAACTCTATACTTAATCCTAACAGACTGTTTCCTGTAATATGATTGTTTAGTTTAGGCTAAAAGAAAAGAAACATCAAGAGCAAATAACAGGACAAACAGCCCGTTTTTGTTGTATATACATCTTGGTGTGTGTGCGTGTGTGTGTTGCAGAATAAATACAAGCAGAAAGGCAGACAGGAGATCAGCAGCAGTGTTTTCCACCACATGCCGGAGACCAAAGAGACCGAGTTCGCCAAGCAGATCTCTGATCTTCAGAGTGAGGTTAGAGGCCAGAGCAGTGTGTGTGTTTCTTTAAGTTATCGTTGCATGCAGTGTATTTCTTCACATTGTTTCATACTCGCTTATGTTTTCAGGAGTGGAAATGACAACATGTTCTCTGAAAAAAGTATATTCATATCTGCATATTTATTTTGGTTAGACAAAGTACAAGAAGGACAAAGAGGATCTGCCCAACACGTTATACTCTCTGCTGTCTGAAACCCTGGAGACTCAGTTTGCTAGAGAGATGGCTGAGACACACAGCGAGGTAGGAAACACTCACTCTCTGTGTTACTGTGCACATTTTAGTCTGTTTGCCTGAAAAAGACAGCTTGTGCGCTGGGTTGATAACTCACAGTGTGTGGTTGTGCTTCGCTTAAGGTTCTTAGTTGTTGCTTTGTTAGTCATGCATCACCACAAGGTGACTTTATCCATTCACCAGATTCTGTAAATAATATTTAAATTGTCACTGTTAATTAACTGATATTTCACAATGTGCCTGCAGGCCTTAAGTCTTACATTTGAATTTCAAAAATATTTGATCAGATTATATGTTTATTTTTGTCAAAATTAGTTTTTATGGCATCAGCAAACAAGTTTATAGTCCTGTTCTTTCCCTTCCTTTTCCTTCCCTCTACTTTCTTGTCCTTTCATTTCATTTCCTACACCTCCCTTCCTTTTCCTTCCCTTTCCATCTTTTTTCTTTCCTTTCCTTTCCCTTCCTTCCCTTTCCTTAACTGTCCTGTCTGTCCCTTCCTTTTCCTGTCCTTTCCGTCCCTTTTCTTTCCTTTTCTTTCCTGTCCTTTCCTGTCTTGTCCATACCTTCCCTTTCTTTTCGTTTCCTTCTCTTTCCTTTTCTTTCCTTCTCTTCTTTCTTTTCCTGTCCTTTCCTATCCTTCCCTTCCTCTCCCTTCTCTTTTAATTTCTTTTCTTTTCCATTCCTGTCCCTTCCTTTCCATCAGCAAACATGTTAATATTCTATTAAATCATCATCCTTTATACTTCCCTGCTACGCTTGCCCGTTTGGAAATCATCTGAAATGTTCCTCCGTGATGCCCAAAAATAAGCATCAATAAGCAAACAACCTAAACTGGCTCCTTTCGACGCAAAGGAGCAGCGACTCTACTCTGAGCTCCTCGCGGATAGCTGAGCTTCTCACCCTGTCTCTAAGGGAGACACAAGCCACTCGCCTGAGGAAACCCATTTCAGCCGCTTGTACCCACAATCTCGTTCTTTCGGTCATGACCCAACCTTCATGACAATAGGTGAGGGTAGGAATGACAATTGACCGATAGATCGAGAGCTCAGTTCTCTTTTCGTCACAACGGTGCGGTAAAACGAGTGCAATACCGCCCCCGCTGCTCCGATTCTCCGGCCAACCACCTGCTCCAGTCTCCCCTCACTCGTGAACAAGACCCCGAGGTACTTGAACTCCTTCACTTGGGGTAAGGACTCATTCCCTACCTGGAGTTGGTACTCCACTGGTTTCCTGTTGAGAACCATGGTCTCAGATTTAGAAGTGCTAATCCTCATCCCAACCACTTCACACACTGCTGCGAACCGATCCAGTGAGAGCTGAAGGTCACGGACCGATGATGCCATCAGGACCACATCATCCGCAAAAAGCAGTGACAAGATCCCAAGCTCACCGAACCGCATCCCCTACTCGCCACGACTATGCCTTGATATCCTGTCCATGAATATCACAAACAGGGATTGGTGACAAAGCGCAACCCTGGCGAAGGCCAACTCCCACCTGGAAAGAGTCCGACTTACTGCTATTTGTACTCGGACACAGCTCTCGCTTTGGATGTACAGCGATTGGACAGCCCTGAGAAGGGACACCCTCACCCCAAACTCCCGCAGCACCTCCCGGGGGACCCGGTCATATGCCTTCTCCAGATCTACAAAACACATGTAGACTGGATGGACAAGCCCACTCCAGGATCCTTGTGAGAGTAAAGACCTGGTCCGTTGTTCCACAACCCAGTACAAAAACCGCATTGTTCCTCTTCTATCCGAGGTTCGACTATTGGCCGAACCCTCCTTTCCAGCACCTTGGAGTAGACTTTACCGGGGAGCCTGAGAAGTGTGATAGCCCTGTAGTTGGCACACACTCTCTGGTCCCCCTTTTTGGACACTCCTGCCACTCCTTGGGCACTATACCCGACTTCCACGCAATGTTAAAGAGACGTGTCATCCAAGACAGCCCCTCCACACCCAAAGCTTTTAGCATTTCTGGGCGGATCTCATCAATCCCTGGGGCTTTGCCACTGTGGAGTTGTTTGACTACCTCAGTGACTTCCACCAGGATAATTGATGAGAATCCCCCATCAACCTCCTGCTTTGCCTCTACTAGAGAGGCAGTCAGATTTAGGAGTTCCTCAAAGTGTTCCTTCCTCCTCCCAATTACCTCCTCAGTTGAGGTCAACAGATTCCCATCCTTACTGTACACAGCTTGGAGGTAGCGGACAGTTCTCCAGAAGCACTTTGGTGCCGACCAAAAGTCCTTCTCCATGTCTTCTCCAAACTTCTCCCACACCCGCTGCTTTGCATGTGCCACAGCAGAGGCTGCAGCCCTTCGGGTGATGGAAACCAGCGAGGCTGCGCAGTGAGTAAACCTCACTTCTGACAACTAAGGAGACGTAATGAGAGAGTACGAGTTAAAACCACCTGCTCCCGGTGCGATTTGTGTTGGGTCCCGCAAGACCCGTGGGATCAAGAAGGCCGAGTACTCTGAACTGCTGCTTGGTGCATATGCACAAACAACAGTCAGAGTTTTCACAACCCGAAGGTGTAGGGAGGCGACCCTCTCGTTTACCGGAGTAAACTCCAACATAGCAGCGCTCAGCTGGGGGCTTGTGAGTATCCCCACATCCGCCCGGTGCCTCACACCCTGGGCAACTCCAGAGAAAAAATAGGGTCCATCCCCTATCAAGGAGTACGGTTCCAGAACCGAGACTGTGCTTCACCGCCACCCATGTGGCAGCGCACCCAACCCTGTGGATCTTCCTATGGATGGAGAGGGGGGTGTCACGTTGCTGTTTCGGGCTGTGTCTGGCCGGGCTCCATGGCAAACCCGACCACCTCCTCTTCCTCGATTTTTCATGAGGGTCTGTGTGAACCATTCTCAGTCTGGCCCCTCACCTGGAAACACTTTTCCATGGGAGACCCTACCAGGAGCACTGGGCTCTAGACAACAGACAGCCTCCAGGGGCACGCAAACCTCTCCACCACAGTAAGGTGATACTGAATGGTTCTCATTCATTTTAAAACAAAAATGGAAACTAGCGAACAGTAAAATATTAGCAAGTAACAGTAAACTTGAAGCAGAGTGAGGATAATCTCCCTTTGTGTGCTGAAACTATTGAAACACGATGGAGATAAGAGACTCTACAAGAGACAAAAGAAATTTGTTGTGTTGCTCATTTCTGTAGCAGGATTGTACACTGTTTCACTGTGCAGTTATTGATCTGATGTTGTTGTTGTTTTCTATCCCCAGAGCAAATACAAGGAGGCGGGTAGGAAGGAGCTGGTTAACAGTCTGTATTCTCTGCTGCCTGAGACCAAAGACACTCAGCATGCCAAGGAGCAAACTCAGCTGCACAGCGAGGTACAAAACTTTAGTCACAGTCTGCAAACATGTTTTCATCATTGATATTTAAACTATCATCTTCTCTGGGTACCAAGTATGAGATTCTGTTTGCTCAGTAACATGTAACAAAAGCTTCCAACACATAAATCTACTTTGGTAACTATATAAGAACATCCTGCTGCCAGGGAGACTTGGACAAAACCCTTTAATTTTCAGATGCAGAGATATCTTTAAAGCCTATCTTTAAAGTTTCTTCATTGTCCACAGTTTGGATGAGCTGTGAGTAGGATCTCCTTCATCTCAGTTGTGTGTTAATTAGTGGAACAACGGTGTCCATCAACATCACGACGAACGATCGAGTGATTAAAGCCTGTAAACTGGCATTTTTAATTATGTCTTATTAAACTCATAACTCATTCTCCAGTGTGAATACATCACACACCCATCAGTTCACAGTTTCTACAGCTAATTTGGAAATCATTTGATAGAGAGGAACAATAGGGGCTATGGGAAATGTGGTCTGCCGTGAGATAGAGGTCGCCATCATTTTGATCCCTTTTAGTAAGGTTAATTACACCAAAGGATCTAATTACAGACGCATCGATCCAATCTTCACCCCAAATCCTGATACCGATCCCCGGGATCAAATTGGTGTATTTCTAATCCTAATTAAAATGATATTGATATAATAATATTTAAAACTGGTACTTGTGCCTTTGTATTACACTTTGTATTCAAACTAGCATATTGGTGAGGCAGCGAAACCACTTGAGGCATAATTTGATCGGTGCTTTTAATATTTTGCACAGTAAAATGTCAAATGTTTTGTTTTGCAGAAAGCTTACAGGAAGGAGGGGAGGAAGGAAGCTGGCTGCAGTCTGTACGCCCAGATGCCCCAAACCATCGAGACCGTCTTCGCTAAAGAGCTGACCAAGACGCAGAGTGACGTGAGTCTAACGGAGCTCTGTGACCTTCACAGTGTGAGATAGAAAATGACTCTTTGCAGATGATTTTAATAGCTTCAAACTGTGACTTTCAATGCAGGAAGAGAAACTTTGAGCGCTCTCACTGCTGTAATAAACTTTGGGTATAAAGTAAATGTCAATCAAAATGGCATAATGGCTTTCCTGTAGTTCCACTTATCAAGATCTCTCAGTCCCCGTACACACTGCTGCTTTTTCATTTTAAAACTGAGGCCCAATCCCAATGTCCCCCCTCAGCCCTGAACCCTCACAGACTTTACAGACGAGTTTAAGAGGCTGCAAGGGCTCAAAATGCTGTAAACAGGAACGGGACAGCACTTTACCACTTTATCACGTTACCTTGACGACGCTGAATCACGTTGCACACTTTTTATTTTATGTTTTTCCTTATTTTTAAGTCCTGCAGGCTCTTGCCCTTCAGAGTGGAGGAGAGGTAATATGAGGTATATGTCAATATATATATTTATAATTAATCAATACACTGTTAAAGGGTAAATATAAAATAAATAAGGGCCTAGTTGAACCCTTTTTTTCCTTCTTCTCTTATAACGCGGATTTGCCGTGATATTTCTCTCGCTTCCGGGCTTCCCCTGCTAACCCCCGTGTTTCACATCATACCGCTATGAACTGTGGGCTATTCCCTCAGTCAAAGTCTGCAGAAACATACGAAAAGGGTCCATAAGCCCTCACGGACTTCCTGGGAACGCGCCTCAAAGTCTGAGAGTCTGTGAGGGTGGCACATTAGGCCTGAGAACTTTTTCAACATTTGCATCTACTGTCCAGACTAAAATGGTGAAAACGAAGACCTAAAACGGAGAAGTTTGAAAACACTGCCAAACCCGTTTTTGGTTTTAAAACTCCGGGTAGCGTTTTAGTGCATACGGGCAAAAACGGAGGACTTTAGAAACAATTACACAGACGCTCACATTTGGCTCTCTGATTAGATCTCTTAAGTCATGCAAAGTAGAAACTACTGACAGAGTTTTGGTTTTGGTATTTCTATTAAAATATTTTATACCGTGCAAATAACACTTATAGCCTCCACTTGTACTGTGCATGTCGCTGTATTTACTTTGCGATAACTCCGAGTTTTTTTTCCCGCCGCCACAGACGCTTTTACGTCCCGTGTTACATTCAGTAACAGTCCCAGCTTGTTATTGGTCCATGCAAAATAAAATCTGGTGCTGTTCTTTGTCTGCAGTACTTTATTCTTTCGCCAATCTTCTGTAACTACAAATAGACCATCTGCGTTATGTTTATGCGCATGCCAAGTATACGTTAAAGGCCACTTGAAGTGCGTTTTCAGTCGTTGTAGACGGAGATCAACTCTGATACGCAGCTAAAATGCTGGTGTGGACAGAGAGCACATTCGTTTTAAAACTCGAATGCGAAAGTGTTGTAGATGAGGCCTTAGAGCAGACTGTCATCATGGCTGTTGTTTTACAGTTACAGTAAAGTAAAGAGCAGCCTTTTGGGCGTTTATAGCTTGTAATTAAGAGCTCAGTTTGCAGCAGGTCAGGAGAGACTCACAGCAAATGTGAGGCCTTTAAACAGCAACATCCCAAGATGCTTAACACACACACACACATATAGAGGGAGAGGGTTGGTATCATTTTGTTTGCTGAGGCATGAACACGGAGAGCAGCTGTGTTGTGCTCTACCGCCTGAGGACACAGACACTGACCTACTGCCTACACACACACACACACACACACACACACACACACACAGTGAAGACAAACAGCAGTGGCAGGTTGAAGCTGATAAACTGGGGCAGACACACATTTCACCGGATCGCTTCTGAAAACTGACACCTCTCAAAATACCACGGATGTAAATCTACTTTAAACTATCTTAACTTTTTGATGCTGCTGTTTTCAGGCAAGGCCACTCAGAAAGAGTTAAAACCTGGAGCAGGTGGAGTACTCTTATGTCAACTTAAAAGGGATTCAAACTTTATGAACCTTTCACCAAGAAGGACCAGATTGGATGATAACGGTTTGCCTCAGATGACCTTCACTGTCTCCAGCAGCTGGAGGTTTTTCCAACATGACATTGATTTCATTATTTACAAAAATGTGTCAGTAAATGTGCTCAAACTGAGATTTGTATGCAGCAGAACAATTTCATTTTGGTGCATTTGAGTGACAGTAATAGGACCAGAACACATCTATACTGCTTTAAATAATGCAGGAGATCATAAACTCTAAACTGATCACAGAGCCCAGAAATAAGCAGAGTCAGGTGTGAGGAAAATCTGGCCTGATGGATTCAGTTTAATACAAAAATACAAAAGTGCCACCAGGAATCTGAAGGAGTGGAGCTGCAGTGTGATGAAGATGAGTGTAGACTTGGACTGCTTGATTCACAGATGAGGTTCATTGCTTGGTGCCTATCGGGCCCAGAGGGCAGAACATCACAGCTCCGGGTAAACTGGGGCACAGGGCCTGATGCTTTCTGGTTTCACGTCTGTTGACCGAGCAATGTTGACGCTAACTGGAGCGTATAACGTACACCACCTAGACAACAGCAGCCCAGACTGCCCTGCTTCTCCAAAACGCTGTTACAATAAAACTGATCCACGGGCTGAAGGAGCACGGGAGACATATTTTGTTTACCAGCCCGGTTAATTTGATCATTATCTGAGAGTTTTACTGCATTCTTTT